GCTTGTTTGCTTCCATTTCATTCAGTTCTTCTGTTCTTTCGATTGTGACATGTTTGTCTTCATGTATTGGCTGCTTCACCGTGTTTGTTTCCATGTATTAGGTAGAGCTGCTTTGTCTTCAAGTCTTGGTAAGTAGCAGGTGTCCAGTAGGGCTCAGTGGCTGAGCCTCCCCTGTCACCTGAGCTGGGCACTCTAGGTGCACCACTGTGTGGCCTGTGCACACAGCCTTGTTGTAGTTGAGCCTTGATTGCTGTTGGCATAATTGGGAAGGATTGACCCCCAGACCTACTGGTTGAGGGGACCAGCTGTGACTACAGTGGAGGAGCTATTGTGCAAGAGATCCTCTCCTTCCTCTGGAGCAGGACTTGCTTCTTGGGGCTTTGGTGCTTACTGAGTCAGCTCCTTGAAAATGACGTTCACATATGTGGTGGGGTTAGGGTTAGGGCCGGCACAAGCTACAGAGCAATCTGCATATTGCTGCTATTTGTGCTGGGTTTGGAGGTACCCAGGAGAGGCCAAGCTATGAACCAAGGGAGGCTGCTGCTAGTGCAGGGCCTGGGACCACTTGGAAAGAGGTATGGGATACATGGAGGCCAGCTGTTGCTTGTTTAAGAGACTTTAGAAAAGTCTGAAGCCTGAGCCAGGATGGACTATTCATATGAAAAAGCCACTGCAAATTGGTGGGGCGGGGCCTCAGGGAATCACCAGGGCTGGGTGAACAGTGTGGGCCAGGTTGATAACAACTCCCTGTTGGCATTGTGGCAAGGAGATCTCAGCAAGGAACACTGGCCTCTGTCAACACTTTTGTCTGGGAGAAAGCTACCCCCAGTTCTTGTCCTGATTCCAGACTATTTTGTTCATCTCCATATGTCCCTGGATTTTAAAAAAAATATATTTTATTGATTTTCCACTGAGAGGAAGGGAGAGGGATAGAGAGTTAGAAACACCGATGAGAGAGATACATCAACCAGCTGCCTCCTGCACACCTCCTACTGGGGATGTGCCCGCAACCAAGGTACATGCCCGGAATCGAACCTGGGACCTTTCATCCATAGGCAGACACTCTATTCATTGAGCCAAACCAGTCTTGGCTGTCCCTGGATCTTTCCAAGCTGCTGCCTCAGTATTGGAGCTCAGAGGGAGTAAGTCTGAGTAAATCTGTGCACTGGTCCTTTAAGAGGAACTGCTTGGGTCTCCAGCAGCCTCTGTCATTCAGCCACAATCCCCACTGGGTTTTACATCCCAAAGTTATGGGGACTTCTCTTCCCAGTACTGGAACCTAGGCTGAGGGGTTCAGTGTGGAGGTGGGACCCCTTGCTTCTCACAAGGGGCCTTTGCAGCCAAGATATCCCTTCCAATGTGCTTCTTTTACTGCTCTCGTTGTAGCGTTTCCATTCACCTGGATTTCAGGCGATTCTGAATGATGGCTGTTCTGGGATTTAGTTGTAATTTTGATGTGGTTGTGGGAGGATGGGAGTATCGATTTACCTACACCGCCACTGTGGCTCCTCCCCCTCTTTGGTGATCTTTTATTATGCTTCCAACCAGATAGCAGGCACTATTCAGCTCTTGTAGTGGGAATGCAATGAGCACCACAATCAGGGGCCCTGTCTTTGCAGGGCTTAAGTTCTGGTCAGGAAGGCAGATATAATATTATATAAGTAATTCCATAATTATTTTAACTGCCACTGAATGATGACTACAATGTGCAGGGTGAAGTGTGGGGTCTAGTCTGAGGAATTCAGGGAAGGCCTCCCTGAGGAGGTGACACTTAAGCTGTTAATGAGGTAAAGATGGCTTGGGGTGAGGAGGCTGTGGGGGACACTTGCAGGCAAAAAGAGCCTGGTGCTACTGGAATGGGACTTGAAAGTATGTGAGCGAGTTAAAGGAATGCGGCCAGCCAGCACGGCTGGGCATTGGGAGTGAGATCAGCCCCTTCTCTGTATCTTCGTTCTCTGTTCTCTCCGTTTTCTGTTCTCTCTGTTCTCTGTTCTCTCTGTTGGTATGTGACCTCAGGCAGTTGACTTAAATGTTCTGAGCTGCAGTTCCCTCATCACAGAGTTACTGCCACACAGTAACGGAAAGCATTAGTGCCATGTTAGGTTTCTGTAGTTATGCACCAATACGTTCTGTGCTTCTGTGCTGACTGAAGTGCAGGATACTGAGCGCATCTGCGGGCGCTGCTTGTCATGCTGGCTCCTGGCATTGCAGAGCGGCAGTGGGGAGGACGAGGCAGGAGGGTTAGGAGACACTGTGGACTCTCGATGCTCAAGAGCTTGCTTCCCATCAGCTCAATTCCCCTTCTGCACCATTGAAATGGGATGTCCGGGCCCCTGGGCCTGGCTGTCCCTCTGAAATAGGGCATGGTTTCCAGAGGCCTTTATGGGGTTCTCACGGGGGTTCCCATGCTGCTTCTGAGTAGAATTTCTATTCTGTTCCTCAGCTTTGTTCATTTGACTTCTGGAACATCTATTTGTAAATATTTCCTCATGTTTATACTTTCAGTTCCACACACCCTTTTCTGTAACTCCAAAATCCACAATGCTCTGGAAATCAAAAATTTTGTTTCCACTTAATTTGGTGGAAAACCTGCCCTGATTTGCATTCATTTTGTTGCAAAATCAGATGTGAAGCTATATATAGTCTTCGTTTACTCTACCTAATGTTAATAATCACACTTTTTTTTTTTTTTTTCTGGAGAAGCACAACTGAGCTTATTAGGGGCATTAGACCTGCATATGCATATGAAGTATTGGAGTCTTCAAGCTTCCTGTACTTTCTAATACAAAACTATGAGAGATGTGTCACTTTTACTGTGTTATTTGGGCAGTGTGCTATGTGCTTTGAATAAATGTACAGACAGAGTGGCAGAGACAATTTTATTGCAGCTAAATGAACAGACTAAATTCCTACCAACCACTTGCATACACATTTTATGCTGCATATGCTTTTCACACTGGTATGAATGATTGTGTATAGATATTCAAATTCTGTTTAAATATAATTATACTGCCGAAACCGGTTTGGCTCAATGGATAGAGCGTCGGCTTGGGAACTGAAGGGACCCGGGTTCGATTCCAGTCAAGGGCATGTACCTTGGTTGTGGGCACATCCCCAGTAGGGGGTGTGCAAGAGGCAGCTGATCAGTGACTCTCATTGATATTTCTAATTCTCTATCTCTCTCCCTTCCTCTCTGTACAAAATCAATAAAATATATATATTTAAAATAAATAAATATAATTATACTAAAGGTCCAGTGCAAAAAATTCGTGCACTGGGGGTGGTGGTGGTGGTGGTGGTGTTTCCCTTAGCCCAGCCTGCACCCTCTGCAATCTGGGATCCCGCAAAGGACATCCCTCTCACAATCCAGGACTGCTGGCTCCCAACTGCTCACCTGCTGATTGCCCCTAACCTAACTGCTTCTGCCTGCCAGCCTGATCACCCCTAATTGTTCCCCTGCCAGCCAGATTGCCCCTAACTGCCCTCCCCTGATGGCCTGGTTCCCCCCCAGCTGCCCTCCCCTGCTGGCCATCTTTGACCACATGGGGGTGGCCATCTTGTATGATGGAGTGATGGTCCATTTGCAGTTCTGGGCGATAGGCTCTCAGGGTTAGTAGAATATGAAGAAGAGAGGAAAGAGAGTGGAAGTATGGGAAATAAAATGAACACGAAGTTTGATAATTCTCTTTTTAATTACTGGTAAAATATATTTCTATTGATTTCAGAGAGGAAGAGAAAGGGAAAAAGAGAAACATCAATAATGAGAGAATCATTGATCGGCTGCCTCTTCCACTCCCCCCACTGGGGACTGAGTCCACAACCTGAGCATGTGCTCTGGACTGGAATCAAACCCTTCAGTCCACAGGCTGACGCTCTATTCACTGGGCCACACCGGCCAGGGCAGGTTGGTAATTCTTAAGTAATCTGAGTGGAAACTCCACATCTTTATGAAAACAGCCAAAACCTGCAGGAGGTGTGTCACCAAGGGCACAAAGGGTACAGGGTCCTCTCAGATCCTCGGGGGGAGGACTGTGTGTCCAGGAAGAAGGAAGGAGGCTGACGGGGGAGTGGGGTCACGTCCTCCAACAGCGAGGGGGAAGGACCTCAATAAACCAAGAATATACGGGCCCGGAATGCGGAAAGCAGTGGAGGATGAGAAGGTGAAGGGAGAGTTGTAGCTCCTGGCGGAGAAGCTGAGCATTTGTGAGGTAAGAAGCACTGGTGCCACGTCCGCATCCACACGGTTTCTAACGTGTGCTCCCGACCACGTTAGGCAGCAGCAGGAGCTGCGTCCCGGCGCCCACGGCGGTGGTGCTCCCGGTGTAGCTGGCGGAGCCGGGGTGCGGCGCCCGCCGGCCCACCGCGGGCCCTGGCCCCGGCCGCGGGCGGCCCTCTGCACACGCGGCTGCTCGCGGCGGGCGCAGCCTGCAGGGGGCGCTGTCCCGGGCTCCCCGCGGCTCCGGGGGGCGCGGCCAGGCCTTTGTGTGGGAGAGGCTCCGGCAGAGCCGGGCTGACGGCCGCCGTGCTCGGTCCGCGCCCCTCAAAGCCCCGGCTCCGAGCGGCCGCCGCCCCGCCCGGGCCGCTCCTCACCGTCCGTCCGTCTGTCCGTCCGTCCGAGCGGCCTCCCAGACGTCGCACCCCGGCCGCAGGGCCGCCTCCGCGCTGGGCGGGCCCTCGCCGCTCTCCGCCCCCCGCGCCCTCCCTCCGCCCCGCTTCCCGGCGGCGCCGCCTCCTGCGCTCCCGCCGCCGCCGCCGCGGGGAGGAGACGGGGTGGGGCCGGCGCTCGGGGCGGAGGCCGGGCCGGGGCCGGGGCGGAGGCCGGGCCGGGGCCGGGGCGGGGAGGGCCCGGCTCGGGCCTGAGGGACCGGGGAGCGGCGCCGAGGTAGGAGCCGGGCGCGGGGCGGGGCGGGGGCGGGAGGAGGAGCCGCGGGCGGCGGGGGCTGCGGGCGCTCCCCTCGCCCGGGCCGCCGCCTCCCGGGCCTGGGCTCCCGGCGCGGCGGGCGGAGCCGGAGGCCTCGGAGCGGCCCGGGCTCAGCCGCCGCCTCCCGCTCAGATGCCGCCGCCGCCGCTGCTGCCGCTGCTGCTGCTTTTCCTGGGCCCGCGGGGCGCGGGCGGGGCGCAGGCCCCCAACGCCAGCGCCGAAGGTGCAGCCCCGTCCTCGTCCGGCCCCCATCCCCGCGGCCCCCAGCCCCGCGGCCCCAGCCCCGCGCCCCATCCCGGCTCCCAGCCCCGCGGCCCCCCATACCCGCGCCCCCAGCTCCGCGGCCCCCCAGCCCCGCGGCCCCCATCCCCGCGGTCCCTCATCCCGCGGCCCCATCCCCGCGGCCCCCCATCCCCGCGGCCCCCCATCCCCCCGGCCCCCCATCCCCGCGGCCCCCCATCCCCGCGTCCCTTCGCCGCCCTGCCGCCCGCTGGGCCTGCCTGCGACCGCTCAAGGCCTCCGCGCCGCCCTCCCGGTCGGTCGCCACCAGCCCTGCCCTCCCGGGACCCAACCCCCGGCCCCCCTCTTCCCGGCCCCCTCCCCCCGGCCCCTTCCCTCTCGGCCTCCTCCCCCTCCCTCTCGCCCCCCTCTCCCCCGCCCCCCTCCCGGCCCCCCTCTCCCCGGCCCCCCTCCCTCTCGGCCCCATCCTCCCGGCCCCCTCCCCCACGGCCCCCCCTACGGGCCCCCCTGCCGCCCCTCCCCCCAGGTCCCCGCCCCCCGGGGCCTGAGCACCTCCCAGTCCAGCTGCCAGGCCCCCCTGCCCCGCACTCAGCCCTCTCCTGCCCCCCACCTCAGGGTGCCAGATCATACACCCGCCCTGGGAAGGCGGCATCCGGTACCGGGGCCTGACGCGGGACCAGGTGAAGGCCATCAGCTTCCTGCCCGTGGACTACGAGATCGAGTACGTGTGCCGCGGAGAGCGCGAGGTGGTGGGGCCCAAGGTCCGCAAGTGCCTGGCCAACGGCTCCTGGACGGAGATGGACACCCCCAGCCGCTGCGGTGAGTGCGCCGCGCCCCCTCGGCCTCCCGCCTGCGGCCGCCCGGGAGCTCGCTCTCCTCGCAGGCCGCCAGTGCAGGGGCGCAGGGCATCTGAAATGGGTACCTGTCTCCGTGCAGACTGCACCCCCAAGAGACAGCCGGGGTAGCGTGCACACAGCCACGGAGAGCACACAGGCCGGCTGATGCCTCGGTCCCCTGCCGCCGCGGAGAGCCTTTGGCGGGCGCGTAGCGCCCTCTGGGGGGCCTGCCCGGCAGCGCTGCCCTCCTCCGCGCGCAGGGGCTGCCGAGGCCGGGAGGAGCGCCGGCCCTTCCTCACCTGCCTCTCTGCCCGTCTCTCCGCAGTCCGCATCTGCTCCCGGTCATATCTGATGCTGGAAAACGGGAAGGTGTTCCTGACGGGCGGGGACCTCCCAGCCCTGGACGGAGCCCGGGTGGACTTTCGGTGTGACCCTGACTTCCATCTGGTGGGGGTCTCCCGCAGCGCCTGCAGCCAGGGCCAGTGGAGCAGCCCCAAGCCCCACTGCCAGGGTGAGGGGCCCGCTACGCAGGCGGAGGCCAAGGCCCAGCTTCCTTCCCCCCTCTTCCCCCCCCGCCCCCCCCCGCCGGCTCCCGGGTCCCCCCTAGCCGCTCCCTCGGAGCCGCTGTTGGGTGGAGCTTCCTCTGTGTCCCTTCCTCCTCTGTCTTCAGCTCGGCCTCGCCCTTTTTTCCTTTAGGGACCTCCATTACCCTCCTTAAGGTTTAAATTTCCGGTTTCCCTAGCCCCAGTCCCTTTTTCTTTTTAAAAAAAATACATTTTATTTTTTTACAGAGAGGAAGAGAGAGGGATAGAGAGTTAGAAACATCGATGAAAGAGAATCATTCATCTGCTGCCTCCTGCACACCCCCTATTGGGGATGAGCCTGCAACCAAGGTACATGCCCTTGACCGGAATCGAACCCGGGACCCTTCAGTCCGCAGACCGACGCTCTATCCACTGAGCCAAACCAGTTTCGGCCCCAGTCCCTTTTTCTAAACTTCCAACTTTCTATGCGTAAACCGACCCCTCCCCATTTGTTGTATGCTGGATCATTGTACAGGCTCAGGAATAAATCGCATCACACTTAGAGGAGTTAGTATTGGGAAGAATACATGGGTGGAAAGTTATCAGGATAAAATTAAAAAGGCTGAAAACGGGCAGGACTGTCAGAGCACAAGGAGCCTCTGCCCGGGCACTGCCCGGCCCCCCTCCGAGGCCCCTCCCCGCTGCCCTTGGGTCCAGGCCTCAGACTGCCCCCTGTGACCCCCTCAGGCAGCCCCTCCGCTGGGGCAGGACCTCGCTTTGGCTTCTCACTGACTCATTGTGCTTGCAGTTTATCATTCCACTCTGGCAAGTAGGCGTCCCTCGAGGCTGGCCAACCAGGAAGCGCATGAGGCGAGCGGTCCTTGTGCTCTGACAGCGTCCGCATGGCCACAGGTCGCTGCAGCATGCACGGTATTTTACCAGCACAGCCTAAAAGCAATTGCATTTGTCAGTGTTTTCTCTTAAAGAGACCCCCACAACTTAAAATGTTTAGGTTCCACCAATCAGGATCTGCTGTAGGCATTTCTGTCTCAAATTCTGATGTCCTACACAAAACAATAAACCACAGAAAAACAAACCCAAGTCCTGACCCACAGTCCGCCTCGCTTCATCCCAGGGCCCAGAGAGGCGGCTCCTCCGCCTCCGCCCACGGGGGGGGGGGGGGGGGGGCGGGCCGGGAGCCGCCTGGTAACTCTTCTCTGGTCCGTCTCTCCCGCTGCCAGTGGCCCGACCACCGCACTCAGGTGAGAGGACGCACCACCCGTGCCCACCGCCCTCCACCCCAACCGGCTCTGCCCAGGCGATGGGATCAGGCCTCCCCGCCCCCACCCATTCCGCAGCCCCTTTTCCTACCGGTTCCCCTCACCCGGGGGTCCTGGCGCCGCCTTCTCCCGGGCTCCCCGCAAGACCCTGGCTCCCCATCCTCCCCACGGATCCTCATTACCTTCTTTCCCAGAGGACACACGCCCCTCCACCTTTCCCAACCCTAGCACCCACTCTGCACAGCCCCACCTCTCCCCTCCGCACCCCCCACCTCTCCCCTCAGCACAGCCCCACCTCTCCCCTCTGCACCCCCCACCTCTCCCCTCCGCACAGCCCCACCTCTCCCCTCTGCACCCCCACCTCTCCCCTCAGCACAGCCCCACCTCTCCCCTCCGCACAGCCCCACCTCTCCCCTCTGCACCCCCCACCTCTCCCCTCCGCGCCCCCCACCTCTCCCCTCTGCACAGCCCCACCTCTCCCCTCTGCACCCCCCACCTCTCCCCTCTGCACAGCCCCACCTCTCCCCTCCGCACCCCCCACCTCTCCCCTCCGCACAGCCCCACCTCTCCCCTCTGCACCCCCCACCTCTCCCCTCCGCGCCCCCCACCTCTCCCCTCCGCACAGCCCCACCTCTCCCCTCTGCACCCCCCCACCTCTCCCCTCCGCGCCCCCCACCTCTCCCCTCAGCACAGCCCCACCTCTCCCCTCCGCACCCCCCACCTCTCCCCTCTGCACAGCCCCACCTCTCCCCTCTGCACCCCCCACCTCTCCCCTCAGCACAGCCCCACCTCTCCCCTCTGCACCCCCCACCTCTCCCCTCAGCACAGCCCCACCTCTCCCCTCAGCACAGCCCCACCTCTCCCCTCCGCGCGCCCCTCACCTCTCCCCTCCGCGCCCCCCCCACCTCTCCCCTCCGCGCCCCCCCCCTCTCCCCTCCGCGCCCCCCACCTCTCCCCTCCGCGCCCCCCACCTCTCCCCTCCGCGCCCCCACCGCTCCCCTCCGCGCCCCCACCGCTCCCCTCCGCGCCCCCCACCTGTCGGTTCCAGAACCCTTCCTGGCTTGCTCCCTGCT